CAAGAAGGGTGAGACGTAACTCTCTTCCCTATCGTAGAGGAAGTTCACTTGTATGTTGGAAAAAGATGATGATGTACTCGGGCTTGAGTGAGTGTTTCCTCCCTGGTGTGGCCTCAAACATCGCTCTCCGTCATGCCCTGAAATAAAAACCAGATTTTTTGGTCTTCCAGGTGGCTCTACGGAGCTGTGGTGTACACCATTCGATTCTCCATGCAAAATGCTATCGAACGATATACATCTCAGTTCCCACTTGAAACTTTCGTTTTTCACCGTTTTCGGCCTTTTCCTTATCGCCGATCGCCTTCCTCACCAGGAAGGTCTTTCAGGGCGTGACGAGCTTTTTGAAAACGGTCTTTTGCATGATATAGGGGCAGATGCGGGGACCACAGAACCATGTTTAATTTTTCCTGAACGGCCCTCTGAATACCAGAAAAGGAGGTCCCTAGTTCGATTCCTCTTGGTGACAAATTTTTGCATTTCGAGTTGACGTTCCAAAATTCGCGCAAAATGGAGTTCTGATTGTTCTGGTTGGTTCTAACTCCATTTTGCGCGAATTTTGGCACGTCAACTCGAAATGCAAAAATTTGTTACCACGAGGAATCGAACTAGGGACCTCCTTTTCTGGTATTCAGAGGGCCGTTCAGGAAAAATTGAACATGGTTCTGTGGTTCCCGCATCTGCCCCTATATCATGCAAAAGACCGTTTTCAAAAAGCTTGTCACGCCCTGAAAGACCTTCCTGGTCAGCCCTGGCCACCCACGTGCTATTCACGTGCGCGGTGCGTGATGACTTTCCCACGCACTTTCGACACGCATAGCGGTGTATCGATCGGGCTGCCCGCCAGCTACCGAGAAAGGCCATCGGCTGTCACGTGAGCTCTCACGCACCGCGCACGTGAATTGGCCAGGGCTGAGGAAGGCGATCGGCGATAAGGAAAAGGCCGAAAACGGTGAAAAACGAAAGTTTCAAGTGGGAACTGAGATGTATATCGTTCGATAGCATTTTGCATGGAGAATCGAATGGTGTACACCACAGCTCCGTAGAGCCACCTGGAAGACCAAAAAATCTGGTTTTTATTTCAGGGCATGACGGAGAGCGATGTTTGAGGCCACACCAGGGAAGAAACACTCGCTCAAGCCCGAGTATCATCTTTTTCCAACATACAAGTAAACTTACTCTACGATAGGGAAGAGAGTTCGTCCCTCCCTTCTCGAATTTCCTCAAAACATCCCTTCGAAAATTGGGAAATGTCACAAAATGGGATCTAGTGGCAGGTAAACTAGATGTTCTCCAGAAAGTGAGTTGTATACCGTTCGACAGTATTTTTATGGGGAATTGAATGGTGCACATCTCAGTCTTCTATGTTCATCTGGAGAACCAAAAAAATCTGATCATATCGCAAGGGCATGACGAGGTGTGATGTTTGGGGTCACACTACGGAAGGAAGACTCACCTGCCACCAAGGTTTCTATGTAATTCCTACAGAAAAGTAACCGTAGTCTACGTCAGTGAAGGAAATTCGTCGCTGCCTTCACAGCTTTCTACATAACATCTGCTCTAAACATGGAACATGTCGCAAAAAATGGGGCGAGGTGTGATGTTTGGGGCCACACTACGAGAATGAATGTCATATTCGTAATCAGGGCATCGAATTACCCCAATAGGCAAAGTTTCGACGAAAAATGAAACTTTGAGATTTTGGGGCAGTAATAGTGGAATAATGATGCCCAATCGGCAATAGGGGAAGGCTGAAAACGGTGAAAAACCAAAGTTTCAACTGGGAGGAGTAATGCATATCATTCGATAGCATTTTTCACGGGGAATCCAATGGGGCACATCTCAGGTCTGCGAGTTCATCTGGAAATGCAAAAAATCTGATCTTTCCACAAGGGCATGACGAGGAGGCATTTTCACAGCCACAGCACGGCGGAAGCGCTCGTCTACAAGCAAGTATGTCATCTTATTCCTACACACAAGTAAGCGTACTCTACAACTAAGAAGAAATTTCCCCGCTACCTCCTCAGATTTCGGAAAAACCTTCGCTCAAACATTGGAAAATTTCACCAGATAGGCTAACTGTCCAGCCGAGAATTGATCTATGATTTCCATTTGAACACGAGAGGAGGAGATGTTGAGCGCAGGGACTACGTGTTAAGTCATTTAACGCGCCGCTGTGGAATAGGGACCATGAAATCTGGAAAAAAGCAATCGATCCATTCACAATACAATGGACGATGTTGAATACGCGGCGCGTTCTGGGGCAACTGCTGAGACCCATCTCTCTGAAGAACGATCATGATGCATAAGCGGGATTATATGCGCACCACATTCAAACAGTTTTTTCTCGAGCCAAAGCTCGAGTGCATGGCGCAATCTGAAGTAAGGCTTTCCAAAAGTTTAAAAGCACATTCTTATAGAACTCGACGAGCTGAGTTCAACGCTTTTTTCAGATTTCAAAAATCTTAAATTGAAGCGAGTTATAACGAAAAAACGAAAAAGAAACGCGAATTTGCGTTTTTCGCGTGTTTTTTTCGATTTTTTACGGCGAGTACCGTAGTTTTCCACATGGTTAGACTCGCCACAGAGAGACGAGTCCAATGGTGTAGAGCACCAATCATTTGACCCGCTTTGGGGGGAGTTATGAAGGGGCGACGCTTTGCGACGCTGCAAATCCGTCGCTCAGCGGAGAAATTTCAAAAGTTAGTGGCGGTATTGTACCTTCTACTTATGCATGACTTCTTCTAATCATTACACTACTAGGTTTTCCTACAAATCGCGTCGTTCAATTTCCAGAGCTGGTTTTTCAACCAGAACTCGACGATCGAGCACCATTACCTGTGATCTAGGTCGAAATTTTTTTATGGCCGAGACGTTGAAGAACTGGTTGAATTTGAAGAACAAGTCATGACTAAGTTAGGAATGTACGACTGGTTGATTTTCTCATTTTCTAAGGGATAATTTTTTTCAAAGAAATGTGGTCACTTTCGCGGTAAAGCACCTTATACCGAAACATCTAAAATTCGAACTAATTCCCAACAAACAGAGAAACAAAACAAATGAGCGAGTAGAGCAGAAGAAGTGCTCGTAAAAGGAACACCACTCGATATGAAACAATGACGTTTACGAGGAACAATTTTAATTTGAAAATTGCTATGGCTTATCCGTCAGCCAATTCGAAAAGAAAAACGGCAAAGCTTTTTCGGCAACCTAAGAGTGGAATGTTTAGAAGAGGTCATGGGTAAGTAGAGGGTACATCATTGATTGATTTCTCCCCAGGGAAAATAAAGTTAGAGCTAGTTGTCGGTTTGGTCAATTTTTGTCGGCGGGACCTCCCATTTCGCAGGCCTAAAATTTGAAAACCCTGGAACAGTGGTGGAAGTGGAACATAGCATCTTGTAGAGCAGACGATTCTCTTTCGAATGGTGTATGACATGGTGGAAAGGCATGGGGATTTAGAACGAAAATTTGGTTTCGTTTGAAAAAGACGACATCACTATAGAGAAAACCGAGTAACATCTCATTCAATTGGGCGGTTTGACCAAATAAACCTTTCTGCTGAGTATGATATTCCGCATACTTCCGCACTCTTTAATCTAATTCCTGACGCTTCTGAAATTCGGGTGTCCTGCTTCTTGTTCAGCTCTCATTAGCCGGAAGTCTCACAATGTTGACACATGTGGGGAATATATTCTGGATTGAAATGTTCACTATTGCTCTTATAATGAACTTGCTTTTAGTTAAAGATATTCCGAACCAACGTTATCACTCCAGGAACTCGATATCAAAATAGTTGCTTCAAGGCATCGGTGGTATTTAATAATACGTCGTGCATATTTGAAACCTTTTCTTTTTGAAACTGAAACGTAGCGTTGGAGCTGGTTTTGTATACAGGATGTCGTCAAAATGCTCAGCTGTGAAAGAAGAAAAGTGGAAGAGGGAAATGGGATAAAAGACGTGGAACCAAGCTATAGCTATACACCATTCATATCGAATATGAATTCTAAGAACATTTAGGGCAATTAAAGGAATCTTGCGCGGAAAATTCTTGCACTCTTTCCTAACATGAATATGTCAGTTGTGATCACTGGAAATAGCACACAAAGTTTCACGCATGAAGATTCGGTTTCTGAAGAGAAACAAACGTACAAAAACTACACGTTATGGACCATCGAAGGACCAGGAGGCAGAGCCAGGCGAGGCATGGAAAGAAGACGGCGTTTGGCCGGCTACGTACCAGGCGACGCAATGAGAGAATCGGGTTAAAGCGCGCGATTTCGGAGAGTGGAGACAAATCGATCGATGGAATAGGATGGAGTAGAAGTGTAAGATGTGAATGCAACGAAGCAGAAGGCCAGAAAGAGCTTCTAGTGAATGCACTCCAAGAACCAAGTTTGAGCATCCCCGTCGCCAGCATTCGTGAAAGACGTCCGTGGGCAATTCGAACGCGTAGCAGCCTTTTCGAGTTTTCGAATTTCTAATCAAAACGAAAGCAATACTTCAGTTCTTTTCACTATTATCGTGGATAATGAGTCTCAAGCCAGTGATTTATGGCTGAAATAGAATCATGATTTTTCCGCGCAAGATTCCTTTAAACTCTGTTCAATTAGCGTGAAACATTTTTTGTAGAGGAAAGTAGACCACGGTCACTTTTACATTAATGGTCTGAATTTGGTGGAACTGTCGGACTAAGGATATTAATTTTTATTTTTTAATGTAAAATGCTACGTTCAACATCAACACATAGAATTTTGTTAAGCACAACTATAATGTCTGAAATCTACATGTGGAAAACCAGTTCAATGCTATGGTTCACCCGAATGACATGCTTTGTATAAAACTGATTCGACAAACAAAAGTTTTAAGACACATAAATGATTCAAAGAAATTTTCGCGTGACTAAAAATTTTGAAGTTAGATTAAAACCATTCTATATATACAGTACGAGAGACAGTTTATACTTGAACAAAAATCAGTCGCGATTCTCATCAATATTGAACTCATCAATGCTTTCGAGCGTCTTTCAGCAGTGGAGCGAAGAATTTTCTGACAACCTGAAAAAATCACAAAGCTCAATCTGTGAGCAGCCGCATTAGATTCATAAATCTTTTGCCATATTTTGCCAGAATGGGAGGGACTTTGACCAGCGGAGCTTCTAGGGGGGCTTTTGCGCAGTTTAAGTACGGCTTTAGCTGGTATCTATCACGAGAGACAATGAGGTTAGGATGACAAGGTAGTCAGCCCAAAAGCGACAACCAGATAATCGTCTGTATATAAGATTCCAACATGTGCTGTCAGAAAGATGCCAAGCACCTGGTTCCACCGCAATATACGTTTTAGGCTTCAGCATTTCAGGGAATTAGGCTTTGGAAGACTTTTATAGCTAAGAATATTGGGTCCGCGTTGAGCACGTAGTGGTGCACAGGAAAGATGGGAAAAGCTCCGGTAAAGCGAGGGATCACTTTTGACAGAGCAATGCTCCAAATGCTGCTTCTCTTGATGGTGGGCTCAAACTTTACAAGTATCTATATTTGTCTTGGGTGCATCGGAGTAGTTGGAGTATGAGCAGTGCGCTCGACCATGTTGGATGGAGGTTCGTGTTTCAGAGGCTCCCGGACCGTCTCAAAAATATCCGCAACTGTTCCGAGTTTCCACTACAATTTGCTGACATTGTTGTGTAGCGTAGTATTGAGTGTACCTGATCGAGTCAAAAGTGAGAAAAATTAAAAGCAGTGGGAGAACGCAGTAGTTTTACTGAGCAAAAGAACCGAACCTCGTCGTTCTGAATTAATGCCATAATATTCGGCTCTTGATCTTTGTTTCGGAGCACTATCGAGTTGGAATGTCCACAATTCTGTTGAGCACCAGGAACATTGTAGTATAATCCATCATCAACAAATACCCCGGACTGAAATCATTGCAGCAGTGATACAAATGGACTATAAAAAGACTAGTTGATGGACTTGATCTTTTCAAGTAGCAATTTGTTAGGAAACTAGAAAGAAACCATTTAGAAGAAGCCGAACTCATGAGACATTTACAACATTGAGAATTAAATGCAGGGTGAAACATGAGCATGGTTCAAGAGAGCAGGGCTACCGAATGAATAATGGCTTGTGATCACATTGAATTTTTCCCCCTTACCTCTCCGCTTTACCCGGAGCAGACCGAACTTTAAGCCCCAGTCATCCAATTCCAGAATGAAGTACACTCAATTGCTTTTCTTGTGAAGGATCGATCGGTTATGACAGCTAAAGGGTGATTGTAAAAGTTGTCAATGCTATTTAATATGAGGCATTGAGAGACTGAAAAAGTGATTACAGATTCAGAAAGGTCAATGCGAAGACACGTGGATAGTAAGGTTAGAATACCAGCCTATTACTCTCAAACGCGATGAACGCGCGCTCTCTCTCTCTCTGTAGCGATAGGGAAAAAACGGTCAAAAAATGTGGAGGGATACAGACGCGGATAGAAGACGAAGACGAATATGGAGGCAATGACAACTTTTTCTAAATGCTTCATGTAGAATGAGGTTTCATTCGACGAGTCTCTAAAATGTTTACTAGCGCCTAGAAACAACTAGCCGATCAAGATCATGATCATGGCGAATCGAGTCGAAAATTCTAGCTCAGAAATTGAATCTGCTTCTCTATTGGGCCGCCAAGTGGGCTGAAAACCTGTGGCAGCGCTGAAAAAAAAAGAAGCTCAAGTGAAGCTGCCGCCTAGCAGACTAATCGTGACTGTTATTTCAGCAAGACAGTATGACGGCTATATACTATATTTCATGGTCTCGAGTATCATGCCGCTCACTTGTACGACTTCATTCCTCCTATATTAATCTACACTACGACTGATCAGAGCGTAACAACACAGTTTGAACGGATCTGCCGCTCTTCAAAGAGCATGGTGTGGAATTCTGAAGGACGATATGTAATCAGAATCGCGGTAGGGCTCGATCGAAGGAAGTGAATAACAACGTTGTCCGCATGGGGAAGACTCGCGAATCCTAAGCCGCTGTGCAAGCTATACAGTTCGAACATTTTGCTTTGTTTTTGATTGACCATCACTGACTTCTCTTCTTCGCAACTATGACGCCTAGGTGCTATTTCTCGACGGTATGGAAATTTTCGTTCGAGGACTGATGGAACAAAAAATCGTTGCTCATTGGAGCAGACGTGAGAGTAGAGACGGCGGAGGGTGCACTATAGAAAAATCTGAAAGACATAAGACCCGAGAAATATGCCTAGTTCTTTCGTTGATTTCCTATTTGAACGACTCAGCGACCAAGTGGTGCTCGTCTGCACGCTATCAATCCCTACATCCGCCATGATGCGAACAAATATCATTCAGGCATTCCCGCCTCCGCCCTGTGAGGTCGCCTCGACTGGTTGTCTACGCCTGCTGACTCCGATATCATGCCACCGAAGAAGAGTCCTGACGAGGCAGCGCCGTCATGGCTTAAACCCATTCTTGAGAAATGGGATAAGTATTTCGAAAGGTTTGATAAAATCTTCGAACTCTTTTTACAGATGCATGAATCCCAAAATCTTATTCTAAAAAAGCTTGATGCTTTAGAACAGAAAATTGCTGTGGAGTCCGAACGCCATGAGAACCCCAGGTCAGCGCTTTACAGCACTCTTGTTAAATTTAAGGCGGACGCGAAAATTGTGGACGAGAAGGCCTGCAGAATCACCTGGGTAGGTATAAGGGAGCAAGCAACGGAAGCAGCTACTCAGGCATTCGATAGAGAAGCAATAAAGGAGGTAGTTGTCAACTCTGGAGACGATGAACTCCTTCGTGAGTTTGAAAGTGGAAGAATTTCTTTTCATAGGCACCCAAAACAAGAAATGTCTCGCATACTAGCAAGACCACGCATCATAAAAATCAATTTAGGGAGCCAGGACCTCAGAGATCGACTTCTTGACCACATGCGTGCTGGGAGACTCTCGCTGACAAAAGAATTTGTACATTCCTACGCTAGGAAAGATTACACGAGGGAAGAATTGGAGTACGACCGCACTCTACGTAAAAAGGCTGGGATAATGAACAGTCATGAAGGCAAGCTGTTATATGTCATACGTGATTTAGCGATTCATAAGTTAAGAAATCCCCGTGACCTACAGAGTTTTGAACACTAACCCTTCGCAATCTATAAATGACCCGCCAGGTCAGCACGCTCCCGTCGTTTCTGACCCACCTACCTCCCCTGTGGCACTCCCTTAGGAAATAAGACCAATCAATAGGTACACAAAACTTTCTGACTCAGATACTGTACCTCCCGCTCAATCGTGGCCTCCTCACCGCTTTTTCATGTTCAATGCACGTTCAATAGTAAACAAGATCCCCGATCTGAACCACTTCCTTCGCCAACAACCCAGTGCAATATTTGTGACGGAAAGTTGGTGCAAACCAAACTCCATCCACGATGCAATCCTTAGCCACGATTCTATGTACGAGGTTCACCGCTGCGACCGGGCAGGTAATAGAATTGGTGGTGGAGTTTTAGCGCTAATTCACAATAGTGTCCCGCACAACTTCCTCTTCAGTAAAGATTTCCACGAACAAATTCAGATGCTAGCACTCGAAATCAGCACGTGTAATCATAAAACACTCTTCGTCCTTGCCTATCGTAGTCCGTCTTGCACCAGAGAAGCCTTCTCCGATTTCATGAACTTTCTCCAAACTTCTTTTGAAGAGTGGGATGACCGTATTATTCTTCTAGGGGATTCAACTTTCCTTTGATTGACTGGAATAGCATGACCCTTAGGGGGAATATCTCCTCGCCGCTGTCAAACTCCTTCCTTTCATTTGCTAAATCATTCAAGCTTGAACAACTGGTTAAGTTTCCCACGCATGGACTCAACACCTTAGATATCATATTGGTTTCCGAGCCTGAAATAATTGAGAGTCTCCGTGTTCTTCCACCGTTTAGCACCTCTGATCATAACTGCATCGGATTTAACCTTCTCGACACCCCTCTTGCTCACACCCGCGCAATTAAATCATTCAGGTGCTTCTCAAAAGGAGATTATGAGGCTATCATTTCTGAACTTACTAAGATTGATTGGATTGCACTATCCTGTGCATCCAAAGACTCAGACGCATTTTATACTAAATTCATTGCAATATGTAAGCAATTAATTGATAATCATGTGCCACTCGCGCATTGTCGAAGAAACCCTGTAAGATATCCAAGACGAGTTAGCTTTCTAGTAGCCAAAGTCAAACGTATCCACTCCCTCTCACTTGAACATCACTCCAAGCTCAGAACATATCTACGAAGACTCAAGCGTGCACTCTTGAGGCATCAACTGAAGGTGGAGAAGAAAGTAGCGTTATCAAAAAACAATAAGCTTTTCTTCAAATACTGTAAGAAAAAGTTGAAACTATCGGAAAGCATTCCTAATATGATTTCGCCGGATGGATCCTTGGTCGAAGATGACTTGGGTAAAGCCAATCTTTTTGCTAACTACTTTCAGTCTGTCTATAAAAAACCTTGCTCCTCTGATGCAAGACTGTCTACTAGGTCTCCAGATTCTTTGGACTGGGTAGACATATCCACCAATGTAGTATATGGCTTCCTGCGCAAACTCCCCAATAGAGTATCCACCTCCCCAGATGATGTTCCTTACATTTTCCTCAAGAAAACTGCCCTTGGCATCGCAGCGCCTCTAACTATTTTGTTCAACAGGATCTTACTCCACGGAGATGTGCCTAAGCTATGGAGGGTAGGATTAGTTAGACCGATCTTCAAGAAAGGGTGTAAAAGGAACGTCACAAACTACAGACCAATATGCCTTACTAGCTCCATTAGCAAAGTCATGGAGCGCATTGTCTGCAAAAAAATCACCAGTTTTCTGAATGAAAGAAGGTTACTCAACAAGAACCAGCATGGTTTCCTAAGCCGTAAGTCCACAATGTCAGCACTTATATCTACCGTACCTCTCTGGCAGAGAGAGTTAGACAATGGGAATTACGTATCAGTATGCTACATTGATTATGCTAAAGCCTTCGATTCAATCTCCATCGACTTGTTACTGAGAAAGTTAGAGGCCTACGGGATCAAGGGCAGACTTCTTCTGTTTCTGCGTGCTTTTCTTAGTAATAGAGTTCAGGCAGTGGTTATAAACAATGCGCGGTCCCACTACTATCCAACTCCTAGTGGAGTGCCTCAGGGCACATGTATTGGACCCCTCATGTTTATTTTGTACGTAAATGACTTGTTTGATGCCGTCCCTCTAGGCGCATACTGCAGTCTGTATGCTGACGACTCAAAAATATTTACCGTTAACGACTGTGGTAAACTTCAGGAGGCGATAAACTGTGTGAGCACATGGTCTGAAAAGTGGAATCTGGAAATTTCCATACAAAAAACTGCCATCATGGGACTAGGGAAAAACCACCCGAACACAACATTCACCATGTATGGCAAACAACTTGCTCGTGTCAGTCAGATTCGAGACTTAGGCGTTGTATATAGCGACAAGCTTTATACACGGCTTAGTTGCTAAAGCAAGCGCGAGGGCAAACTTTATTTTGAGAGCTTTTCAAATGCGGGACCCGGTTTTACTATTTCGTCTCTACAACTTGTATGTGAGGCCAATTCTAGAATACTGCTCACCCGTTTGGTCCCCATACAAGAAGTCGCAAATCGATGAACTTGAAAGAGTCCAAAAAAGTTTCACGTATCGCTCTTTCATGCGCAAGGGAGTCACTTCCCTTTCGTATGAAGAGCGACTCCGTAGGCTTGGTGGAGCCAATTAGAATTTCGGCGTAAAATAGCTGATTTTGGGCTGATGTATAAGTTGATAACACACGAAATTGACTTGGAATTGACTGATATCTTCGAAATTTCCCCATTTATTAATCTGTGTCGGGGGCATCCCTACCGCCTAAGGCCTGAGAAGC